ACTACACACTCGGTGACTACTAGGTACGCAGTCGGTGTATATAACTAAGTGGCACGGAGTAGTGCTGAGTACTTAGTATGCTTGCGCGTGCTAATAATAGCGATGAGTTCTGAGACTTATGTGGTACTGTACTATACACTAGTATCACTCCGCAGGTAACTTACCTAATTAAGTATACAGAAGGTACGTAGAGTCGTGGACTCTCCAGGCGGGTTGCATGCCCCGCTCATGGCCAAGAATAAGCGCTATTGACACTGGTCGAATTTCTATTGCCATCGGCATGTATTTAAAAATGCAAGTCCTTATAATAAGAATCTTCTTATATTAGGAATTACGTTAATGATTCTTAGGGTATTTAGGAGCTGAAGATATTGCTGTTAGAGTTCTTTATTAGAAAGTCTTTTTTCTTCTTTCTATCAGGATTATTAGAGTCTATATCATTATTAGAGCATATTATTCTGGATCAAAGTAAAACTATGCAGAGGACAAAGAGTATATAACAATTACCGTCTACTTTAAAAGGTTTAGCTGCGGTAGCTTTACCATCACAGCCAGCCATTATCCTGGCCAAGTCAGGATTACATGTGCCTGCCTATTTAGAGCTTTATGCTTGCTCCTACTTGACAAATGGCCAGCATCTTGCACTAGATAGTAGCTTCAGCGACATGTTGGGTATGTATGATGATGGGAAGGTGGATTGACCTTAGGTAGAGTATATTATAACTACTGTACATATAAGTATATAGTACAGTATCTCCGTAGTACTCTGATTGTGCATCTGATATTTCGGTCATAAAAAAAATGACATGGACAATATATATTAAGGGGAGCTTCTCCTACAGTACAGTCCTTGTAATTCTAATACTGTATCTACTGAGTACGTGTGATCTGTACTTCGTACTGTACTGTACCTCTAAGCCAACCGACTCCCTATGTGTTTAGTTAGATACCAAATTTATTAACATGCCAGATGAAACCCCACTTCTCAATATTGCCCCTGGCCCCCTGTCAGAAAGACTACTTCACTTGTTTGATGTTCAGCAGATTCGAGCCCTGAAAATCAGTTGGCATGTACTTGGACCTTGGGTATGAATATATTCCGTACAGTATAGTACATTACTTCTTAAGTATATAGCGTACAGTACTTAACCATAACCACATCAAACAACCACAATACCTTCAATGTATGTAGTAAATCATCCAGGGTGACGGAGCCTTTGCTGGCTTGCTGGCTTTGCAGTTTGTGCAGTACCCCCCTTCTGTCCCCACCTTTTCTCTTGTACTGTTTGTTGCTCAGCAGTAACCTAACCTACTCGGTGGCTTACTATCGATGATTGTGCCCTATCACCCCCAAATGCTTTTTTCCCAGCCCCTCGTCGCCCTCCCCTCTCTTAGTCTAAGTAGGTAAAGTAAATTAATTAGTAGTTAGTGAGTCTAGCAGGAGTAGGTAACTAAACTACGTACTGTGTACTAGTCCCAAAGGTGAGCGTACATTGTAATAATCATCGTTATTACTCGGTAACCTCCATTCCGCTTTCTGTTTACGCTCAGCCCGAATCTTCTTTCTTCCTTTCCTCCCTACTCCCTTAACCACCCCTCTCCCTCCCCCCGCCCCCCACCACCCTTAGCTTTCGACTTATTAACATCTTCTGGATCATCACACCCGAAGGCTTTGCCAAATAGTAAGGGCTTTTAGTCTGAAACCATTTGATTGTCAGGGGCAGAGAAGAAACAGTCACAATCAGCCAAACCAAGAAAAGAAAAAGCAATAGTTCCAAGACCGGAGAAACACACTGGCCGCGATGAATAGGCCACCACCCCAAGGTCGTGGTCAGCCACGGCTGGGTGCGACATGGTATCCAGGGGGTCAGGATGATTTCTACATGCCAGAAGTCATATCCCCATCTCCTCAAAGGTACGAACTGCCCGCGACTCTTTGAACAAACAGTTGATCATCCCTTCCTAGTGTCCCTTTCATTTGGTTGTGTTGCTAATCCATCCTATCATATCCTTGTTCTAGTAGAGTCATGCCCGAGGTACCGGAGAATATGCAAGACAACATAGCTCATCTTGAGCACGAAGCCCGACACCCCCACCACAACCAGCACGCTCCAGTGCAGTATGACCGCTCTCGCTTCCCCGAGCGCACTTCGTCCGCCTTCTCACAAGACCAGCCTTACCCATCAGCCTACGAACCTGCCTCCCAGTACGAGCAGCAGGATACGGCTCACGATGCCATGGATACTCCCAACTTCTCTCCCTTTCCTGTTCTGCGGAATCCCCCGCCAAACGTCCCTCCAACCGATGAGCAGCGGGAAGCCAACCTGGAGAGAGCACGTATGGCGGTGCTCTCCTCTAATGATCCGGAGATGCAGCTGGCCTGGGCTCAAGACGCGCTCGCTTTCGTCGAGGTTGCCATGCAGAACGAGGCACGTCTGTCTTTGATCCAGCCTCCGCGACCACAAACCCCCCCGGTGGAGCGTCAACTCAAACTCGACGCAATGAACATTGTGAACTTCCTCGCAGAACAACATCATCCCAAGGCTGAGTTTATCAAGGGCATGTGGCTCGAGTTCGGGAAATTTGGATATCGCGTCGATAAGAAGGAAGCTTTCCGATCCTACTCGAGAGCCGCGGACAAAGGATATGCCAGAGCCGAGTACCGGATTGGCATGCAATTTGAAAGCTCTGGAGAGCCCGAGAAAGCCATCAGGCATTATGAGAAGGGTGTTGCTCTTACAGACTCTGCTTCCTTCTACGTATGTCTCCCCGCGTTATCAGACCGGCTCGTACCCCGCGCTAATGATATATACAACGGTAGCGCTTGGGAATGATGATCCTACTAGGCCAGCATGGTCAGCGTCAGGACTATCAGATGGGGCTTGAATACATTAGCCTTGCAGCGCAGTCTTGCGATGAGAATGCCCCCCAGGGAGCCTATGTTCGTCCGGATTCACCCATCAATTCTGCGGCTGGGAAGCTAACCTCTTCATGCCCAGGTCTATGGCATGCTGCTAGCGCGAGAGTTGCCGCAGGTCAATGTTCCGGAGAGCTACCTTCCTCTTGATCTCAATGCCTCCCGTGTCAACATCGAAAAGGCTGCCTATCACGGCTTCGCAAAGGCACAGGTCAAGATGGGTGCGGCCTATGAGCTGTGCCAACTCGGCTGCGACTTCAACCCCGCCTTGTCTCTGCATTACAACGCATTGGCTGCACGACAAGGGGAACCGGAAGCAGAGATGGCAATTAGCAAATGGTTCCTTTGTGGTCACGAAGGTGTCTTCGACAAGAATGACGAGTTGGCATTCACCTACGCTCAACGTGCCGCTCAAAGCGGATTCCCTACTGCCGAATTTGCCTTGGGATACTTCTACGAGGTCGGAATCTTTGTTCCCGTGGACATCAAAGAAGCTAGAAGCTGGTATGCCAAAGCAGCCGCCAATGGAAACAAAGATGCGACAGGCCGCATCGATAGCATTTCTCGCTCCAAGACTTTGTCCAGAAAGGATCACGAGCAAGTAGCAATCGCTCGGATCAAGTCGCGTTATGGATCTGGTCAACGAGGGGGTCCGATGAAACCTACCCCTGAGAACATCGAAATGCCTGATCCGTCCCGGATGACTCTCTCAGACAATCCATTGGCCGCTGCTCCCTATCCCGACAGGCCTTCGTCCCGGGCCCGACCTGTATATCCACCCGGATATGGCATGCCTGACCCACGTCCTAGTTCCGCGTTTGGGATCAATCCCAACATCCGCAATACCGCTCCCACCTACAACCGCGCGGCGTCTTATGGACCAGGCCCTATGGGCTACCGGACCCCAGGGCCCAGTACCCCCTCCACTGCCAGTCCCACAAGCCCAGCACCTACAACTCCCAAGCTTGATATTGGCTACTCGGCACCGCTCGAAAAGTCCAACGCGGACGCTTGGAGACGCCCTCAGCGGCTTGACAACATGCCTCCTGACCGCAGACCTGTAAGAGGCCCTGCCTCTCCTCATACGCAAGTTGGTCCGGTGAGCTCCCCTCGGCCAGCTGCTTCGCCTTCAACCACGTCAGTCCTCCCACGGACGGAGTCTATGCCGTCTTCGAATGCCCAATCCATGTCTAAGCCTCCGCCATCTTCATCTACACCCAAACCCTCCTCAGCAGCGTCCACCCCTAAGCCCGGCCCACCGACGACAAGCGCTGCCGGCCAGAAACCTCCAGCAACAACGCCAGCCAAGTCGCAATCTGGTCTTCCGGGTAAAGGCCCCAAGACGTTTGAGGAAATGGGGGTTCCAGCTGTACAGAAAGACAGTGATTGCGTATGATCCTACTTTGTTGCAGCCGCCTACTCGTCACGATAGCAGCTAACATTGTCTAGATTGTCATGTGATACCCCGACGCCATCTATCTCGTGATATTTATTCGCTTGTGCTGTATCTGGAAAGTCTTATGAAGCGCGATGCCATCTCTCCTTGCCTGGAGCCATGTGATCAGGGTCGAGTAGCTTGAAATTGAGGGTCATGAAGAGGCAGCTTACGACTTAAGTTTGAAACCTGAACATTCTATGTTTCTTTGGGATGGTTAAGTTTCTTGCACTTCATAGGTTTTTCTCAGGGGTGTCAAGAACACCGCAGTAAAATGAACTATTTTCCTACCGGGCAATATTATGTATGAGAAGAGTGTGGCAATCTCCTTCTTGCTCTGAAGTGGCCATTCTGTTGCCCTCTACAATGTTCCGAGCTTCTTGTGTCTCCCTTCACTTCTCCTGGAGAAGGAAGGCAATCGTCTATGGTGGGTGCTGGATGCCAGTCATCTTCGCTCTAAAAACACGTGACACGTCGGTCCAATTGTATTTCATCCTCTTTCTGCCGCCGGGAAATCTGTAACTCTCTCTCCTCTCCCCCCCCC